TGTTTTGCAAAAGTAGTGATTCTGAGAGGCTCATATCTCAGCAGCAGCTTGGGCGATTGTCTTGCGGTAATTTTTGTAGGGTAGCTGCATCCCTTCTACCAAAGGACGGATACTCTTGATCTATGAGAGCGACCCCCACTGCACGTGCAAAATACAAAAAGAAGAGGTGCCAAATTTGTTCCCATTTCAATAACTCGGTAATTACTGGGGCGATTTCGCTGAAACTTGGCATACAGGTAGGCACCCACCAGGCAATGCATTTCCATGTGTTGCGGTTAAGGTGCCACTGCACGTGCGCACGTGCAGGGGGCGCTTCCAGATCTCGAGAACGGCTGGGCCGATTGCGCTCAAATTTGGTACACGGTTGGGGACCAGTTAGTAGGTTGCCGTGCAAAAGTCAGTTTGGACCCCGTTTGCACGTGCGTACGTGCAGAATGCCGCTTCCAGATCTCAGGAACGGCTGGGCCGATTGCGTTCAAATTTGGCACACCGCTAGCGACCGGTTAGAAGGGTGCTACAAGCCTGTTGGAAGTACCCTCTCGCCCTTCCGCACGTGCAGGGCTCACTATCTCGCTCGCTCGTTCTTCGCCCAAAAGGCGTTTTACTGGTATTGTATTAACATTAAATGTCCGTCCGTGTTCCCACAGTTTTCAGGACTTTTTAAACATGGTAAAGTTGTACACGCCAGTAATGTAAACACAAGTGATACTAGTGCCACCACCTAGCACCGCCACCGCCGGGGCAACGCCGGAAAGGGGGGACCCACGCGGCCTGTCCTATTGGGAACGACAATTTTCGGGCGCCTGTTTTCGGAAACGGGACCGAGTACAAACTTGAAGCTCAGTGTGTCTAGTCTACACTGTAAACCAAATCTACAAGTTGGCTCCTTGTTACAAGTTTGGTTCCAATTCGCATAGGCGTCACCTTGTCGATACCTTGTCGATTCACCAACCCCAGGATTGTTGGCCAACAAACTAACAGTTTGTCTACAAGTTTGGTTCCAATTCGCATAGGCGTCACCTTGTCGATACCTTGTCGATTCACCAACCCCAGGCTTGTTGGCCAACAAACTAACAGTTTGTCTACAAGTTTGGTTCCAATTCGCATAGGCGTCACCTTGTTGAGTACTAGTCTGGGCCTTGTGGACCTACCAACTTCTGGATAGGCATAGTCGTTTCCTTGTCGGTTCACCAACCCCTGATTTGTTGATGAACTAGCCTTTGACTGGGCATTGCTAGCTTACAAATTGTCAACAAGTAAGTGTACTAACACTCTGTTCGAACTTGTTCTTCCTTACAATCGCTTTGTTTGCGTTGATAACCTTAAGAACTTACGATTCGCATTCGTTTTCAATTGCCACGATACTGATTCAGGAAATATTTTCTATACGGACAGGTTATTTTTTGGCTGGAAGTGGTGCACAAAACCATGACTGGCATCAGTTATTGCTCAAAGGCTTGCGCTGACAAGAAACGAAATACTGATGGGTTATATAATCAATGAATGCATACACCACATCCATTCGGAAGTTTCTGGAATCATAGTATTTATTACGGTCACGTAATTAATACTATTGACTGGAGGCAATTCCGAGTGCATATTTTCGAATGGATGTGGTAAATGCATGAGGTAGGTAGGTATACCCAGTAGGTATACCTATCGTACACCGTCAGCATATAAGTCTTTGAAGCAAGAACTGCTGCGTATGTGGAAGAACATGGTTTTGTGCACTGCATCAAGCCAGAAGTATAACATGCCCGTATGACGAATATTTCCTGAACATTGACCATAACAATCATGGCAGTTGCACGATCACGCAGATAATTCGAATAAATCATGATCGCCAACCAGATTAGCTTTTACAGCCCATATATGTCCATCAGGTAAGTTAAAAATACAAAGAGTTGAATTAAAGGCAAATAAATGTATTTATATATAAAAAAAAAACACCGACCGCAAAACATCTGCTCACATGTGCATGCAGAGGTCTGGCCCACTTACATTGCGCGCGCAGGGGAAGGGAGGCGTCTCGACCGCGGGTATAGGCACGATTAGTGCGTCCCGCAGGCCAGAGGGGGCCTCACTCACAGCACGAACACCACAGTTCACAGATTTCACTTTTTACTGCACAAATGCTGGAACAGCCCTCGTCGCTGCTCCAGGCTACACGGCGGCCGCGCGACAACTGCTGGTTCGAAACCGCCGCGCCGGGGCCCGCTAACGGCGGGCGGCGACCGCTGATTGGTCCACCAAGTCTGACGTCAGACGCAGCTGACCATGTGTATGCTGACCAGCTGACCAGTACAAGTTAGGCGCCGGTTAAATAACCATGCGGCAACAAGTTTCCAAAACTGGTTAAGAAACAAACGTTGAAACAAATGTAGAGTTGGTCTGGATACTGAGAAGTTGGTGTGCATAGTAACTATTGACTCGTAGTTGTCACCTGACAAGCGATGCACCAGACAACGGCTTGTTTAAAAAGTATCAGTTGGTAAACATACCAAGAGATGATTGGTTATATTACACAAGACTTGTCAATTTGGTTTACAGTGTAGTATAGGTCAATGGGTAGGGGTCGGAACCAAGGCAACAAGCTCTACTTAGCGTGTGCTCCGGCTCTGTAAAGCCATCTTCTCAAACATTCGAGTGAGATTTATAAGAAAGGACGAGCTCTGCTCCAGCAAATAATTTCTTGCTATGCATCCTGTGTCGCCATATTTGTAATACCTGATTAAAACTGTATTTGACTGATGCGCTTGCTGCCATTAATCAATACCCATCAATTTTAGTGGAGCACTTCATCATTGACTCATCAATGGTATTCAGTATACAGTTCGTTACTGCTTGGTAATAAATGCTGCCCATGTAATCTGATTGGCATGATTGTCGGCTGGCCAGCGTTCGCGGCGGGAAATAGGGTCGACTGTTTGCCGGAGGGTGCTCGGACAGTCCGGCCCGGTGGGGGCCACCCGCTGGCCTTGGCCGTGCATCGTCAACTTGGACGTTACTGTGGCATCTTTCATCGTTTGTGCTCCATGAATGTCCTGGGCTCGAATGTAAAGACTTGTCCGATGTATTCAATTACACTTCACAGCCAACCGATCCTATAAGAGCATAAAACGAAAAGGCATCAATAAATGCAGTAATAATTAAAAACACTTAGATACGAGGGTTAAGTATTTTTGTATTAGTTAACATAGTAGTAATGAAGATTGGCTGGATTGCCCGTTATTGTCTTTTTGACTTATTGACATATATTTTGACATTATTGACTTTACTTTTACGGGCAGGCGATTGTTATGTGAGTTGGTGTACTGATAGAGATTGATTAAAGTGACTATCCCACCTTAACATTGGTTTTGAGTTGAGATATCCAAAATGGGGTCCCTGGCTTGCACTTACCTACCGGTTTGAGCACTCACAACATCGAGAAATGCCTCAAATCGAAAATATCTTATTTCAAAGTTGCAGCACTTTGGATTCAGAAGGGCTAACCGCTAATGCATTAGAATGCCCCCTCTGAATATGTGACGTCAGCGCAGATCTAACGATTTTCACTTTTTTACTTAAACGTTTGGTAGCACGCAGTGGTATTTGCTGCTTTGCGCGCAACAATTGCCGTACTTTTAGCTGCCAAACTATTGCTTCCAAATAAAGTCGCTAGAAACAGTGGAGATCCCAAATACAAGTAAACAAAAGTAAGGGGAGAGATGTCATATTGCGCCACCTTAAGGATATCGGCCTATTGCGGCTAAAGTTGACCAGCTGTCATGCTTGATGCTATCTCAACTTGTACCTCAGTTATTTTGGCATCATATAACAACTCCCAATTTGTATCACACCCAGCAAAATTAACAAGAGAAAAGTTTTCCGACACGCCTGCAAAGGGCGCATTTACGGACTCCCCCATCAAAAAGCGCCCATGCCTCTCATGTAAAAGCGCCCTATTAAAAACAACGGCTTGCCACCTAACTAAGTAGCCTATTTGAACGTGTCAGCCCATTAGCCATTTATGCTGTGAAGGCTAAGGTAATGGTAAGGTGAGCGCTCTGATGATCAAAGTGTTCAATAAAATGTCTCATAACCACCAGATGCTGTTTCTCTGGGTTGAAGAATAGGGCGCAAATAGGGTGGGCGCAATAACGAATGGAACACATTTTTCATGAGCTTGAAATATGGGGGCGACAGCGAAGTCACAGTGGTGATAAGCTTTCAAAACTGCCATTCAACGAACAATTAACAATGATAATTAGTTGAATCATTATCTGTAAGATAAACCATGACACAAGCAAAGGTCAAAATAGACTTTCGTGTAAGAAAATAGAGAAAATCACAAAAATGGTTGCAAGAAAGCTGAGACACCTCACCTGTCCCCGTGGACCGGAAGAAAAACGAGTTATGGTGGTGAAGTAAATGCACACATTCGAGTATTTGTTCGAATCGTACTTTGGGCATGAGGAAGGTGTGGCGCATTTAAGAACAGGGCGCAATATGACATCTCTCCCCAAAGTCTAATATCTTGAAAACCTTTGAATATTTTTCGGTGAAATTTGGTAGATATTCGTTTTCGCTCTTTGTGAACCGAGCGACATCACTTTCATGCCAATTCATTAACTTTTGTGAAGGTGGGAGGGTCCCTTTAAGAGGGTTTACCCATGCAGGCAGATGAGGTCTCAGTTGACATGTGCTCGCCTGCAGGGGTCGTATTTATGTCTCAATTGCAGCTGGACCAATGGTACTCAAAATCGACATATTATTTGGGGGCCGTCCACAAGGGTAGTCCGCAACAAGTTAGATGGAATATTATTTTGCACATGCGCTCGTGCGAAGTTAGCAATTGGGTTTGCTCGATAGGTAGTCGCTCAGAAGGCGTCTTGCCAGTGGTAATACCTGTGTTTGATCATTTTGAAGCCCACAAGTTCGTTGGATTTCATTTAGTAGACACGTTTCCTAATAACCTCACTCCCGACGCTATTGTGACAACTATCTTCCTCTTGCAGAAAAGTGCTGTTTCACCGCAGGTAGCGGGCCGGCAAGTGCGGCAGTCGCCGCGGTTTTGGTCACCATGGCGACGATGACGTCCTTCAGCCGCGGAAAGATTATCCTGAAAGAGTATGAGACGGTGGGCGCCGAAGCCTCCAACGTTCCGGGCTCCCACAGCGGCTGCGATGATAGTTGGCACGCGTGGTTCGACGAGTTCAAGCGGCGCTTCACCGTTTCCTTCGTGAAACTGACCGCCGACGAGGCCGAGTTTGATCTTATCGGCATCGACGCTCCGATCGCCAATGCCTTCCGACGGATCCTCATCGCGGAGGTGCCCAGCATGGCCATCGAGAAGGTGCACATTCACAACAACACCACCATCCTGCAGGACGAGGTGCTGGCTCACCGGCTCGGGCTGATCCCGTTGAAGGCGAACCCGCTGATGTTCGAGTACAAAGGTGCCAGCGAGGACGCCGGCAAGCCCGAGGACACCCTTCAGTTTGAGCTGAAGGTCAAGTGCAAGGTGGACCCGAGTGCTCCGGGCGACGCCACAAACCCGTCCGAGAAGTACGTCAACTCGAACGTGTACTCGGGCAGCATCAAGTTCTGTCCGTACGCCACACAGGAGGGCATCTACACCGACGACCAGGTGGGCCCGGTGCACCAGGACATCCTGATCGCCAAGCTGCGGCCCGGCCACGAGCTGGACCTGAAGCTGCACGCAGTGAAAGGCATCGGCCGGGACCACGCCAAGTTCTCGCCGGTGGCGACGGCCTTCTACCGGCTGCTGCCGGAGGTGACGCTGACGCGAACCGTGTGCGGCGAGCCTGCCGAGCGACTGCAGAGCTGCTTCAGTCCCGGCGTGATCAAGCTGGAGATGGACCAGAGCTCCGGCGAGAAGGTGGCGCGTGTCGGCGACGCCCGCTACGACAACTGCAGCCGCAACGTCTACCGGCACGACGACCTCAAGGATGCCGTGGTGCTCAGCAAGGTCAAGGACCACTTCATTTTCAGCATCGAGTCGGTGGGCGCCCAGAGGCCCGAGGTGCTGTTCGCAGAGGCCGCCAAGGTGCTCCTTAGGAAATGTGAAGTGTTTATCAATGCCCTCGATGAAGCGTCCAATAAAGCAAAGGAATGAGTGAGTAGTGCGTGTTTCCGGATAGAGGGAAAAACAGTCAGGCCTAGTTAGCTCCAGCACTTGTATTACTACAGTAGGTACTAGGTACACGGCATTACACAGTATTATAGCATTACACTACATGCAGTATTATTACTACAGTAGTGTAGGTACTTCAATGAGATATAGCGCCTTGCCTTTATTGCCACTCGCTAAATTTATAGTCCTCCAACGTAGATTCATCGAGAATACGATCGAGGGTCGTGGTTGTGGATAAGAAATAGTTACATAAAGCTGATCAAGATTCCGTTTTACTTTCGGTGTTATTAACTATAAGAATTGTGCGATACAGTTACGCCTTCAAGATACGGACTTTAAAGTTCAACATTTTGACGAGAGGTCAGATTTCGAAGGCGAAGGCCATCAAGTGCGTGTGTGGGGGTTAGCAACGACAGTGTGTCGACTGTCGAGGAACGCTGGCACGTGATGTGCCGTGGGGGACAGTAAAACGTGATGTCAGACAGTAAAACGTGATGTCACGGGACACATGTACGGGGTGCGTCAGTACGAGGTCAGTGACACGATGCGTGTTAGAGGCAGCCACAGAGACAATGTGTGCAAGTCGCCGAGGACATGGATTATGTGGATGTAGCACGGGGTGGTTCTCTGGAGGCAGGCCGCGGTGTACCGGTCTGCAGGGGAGCCGCAGTGCAGATGAGCCCGCAGTCGGGCCGGCCGTGTGCCCGGCGGCTGCGGCCGGCCCGGCCCGGCCCACTGGGCCGTCCTTGGGAGGCCGGGGTGTGGTCGGCCGCGTCCCTCCGACCGGCGACCCACTGACCGGCCACTCCACTGACCCGCACACCGCGCCAACATCGCTCGGACGGCGACAGATGATCCGCACCGGTAAATTGATGCCAATGTGCACGTGCAGACGGCGGCCGAGGCCCCGTATATCAAAGACCACGCCCCTGAAAATCGGTGGCACATATTCCCGCTGCAAGACGGCCAAAATCGCTGCTGCCGGGTGTCCAGCACGAGCAGACCTGATAATGGACCGACGAGATAAGGTCACGGTGCTGCACACTTACAGTTCTGATAAGATTTATCTTTCCGTGAAGGTTTTAATTTAATTCAATGTCCTTACTTCTAACTCCTTGTTTTTCGGATGCTTGAGTTTTTTAAATATTCATCAGTCATCACTTCTTAACCCTCGCCGGCCCAGGGGGGGCGGGTGCCCCCCCCCCCTAGTTTTTTTTGCGATAGCTCCGAACACTCCGGTAATAGAGAACTGAAATTTGGCATACCTGGCCTTTGATCCAAGCCGCATCTTGTGACACTAACCGCATTTTCAGGTCAGGTCAGGTCATTGACATATGACGTCATAAGTAAACCTTTGCACGGTCCTCAAATATCGCAACTTCGCAACGCCCTCGGTGCCAGAGGAACTCTTACAGGAAGATGAAACTTACAGGATGTAGTATCCTGTAGAGGTGTCACAACTTGTATATCTCGGGTTTTTCCTAAAGGTCATATGATGCCAGGTCCGTCACGTGACCTCACCATTATAAGTAAATGGGGAAAATGAAAACTGCTATTTTAGCTCGGCAAACGATCTCAAACTATGTCAAGCACACGGAATCGTGATGTCATGCACTCCTTGCAAGGTCCGATGCTTCACTTTTGCATTGTTGACCTTACGTACTTAGGTCAAAAGGAGTTTTTTTGTCTATAACTCCCGATTAAATTGCGCTAGCGAGTCAAGAAAGCCACCAAAGGACTCAGGAAGACCTGCCGAATCGAATGATATGCGATATGACTTCCTTCGACCAGCTTCGTGACTTGGGGGCGCCGACTTGACCTTGACCCCGAAGTCAACAACTCAAGTTGACTTCACACGAACAAAAAGTATACCATGCGACGCACCTGAGTGAGGCGAACACGATGCTGCCAAAATCGCGGCCCTGCAACCGTTTTTTACGAAGTTATGTATTGAAAACTGAACCCGTGCTTTGGGTCACTAGACCTTACCTCAGAGGTCACCGGTTGACCTGGGACCTTAACCCGCGCCCCAGTGGCGGTCTCAGCCAACTTCGCCCTAGTGGGGGGGGGGGGGGGGGGCATATGTTACCACCCACCTCTAACTCAAAAACTAAGAGGGCTAGAAAGACGCGGTAAAAAGCAGTCGATAGCTCTCAATGAGTACGTTTGAAAGTATTTCAGTCATTTTTCATCTTGGAGCAATATTGGGGTCACCAGAGGTCATCAAAGGTCAAAATTTGCCAATGGTCATTATATTTTTCAGAAAACATGCCGTTATCTCAGGAACTATGGTAGCTAGAAAAACGCATGGAGAAGCAATCGATAGCTTTTGAACTCTTCATTTGATAAGGTCATGATCAAAATTGACCTCAGGTCAACGGTTTAGCCTCCAGAGGGCAAAAACTCCAAAAATAGCTGTTTTTTACGAAAAGTGTTTTTCGACAATAACTTTCGACTACAAAAAGTCACGACATTTCTATTGCCAGAATCGTGTTCCTCTCGCCGAGACGCGTCGAATGAACTATAATTTGACCTTGAAAGGTCAACTTGAAAATTTGACCTCAGGTCAAGGTCATGACCTGACCGGAAAAGGTCATGTTGCATATCAAACGATGCGTCTCAACAAGACAGCCACAATGAGACCATTCCCAGCGTTCTATCTCTTTCCAATCGCGAGTTATTGGCAAAAATCTGTTTGTAGCCTCAAATGACCTCGGATGACCTCTCTAGAGGCTATCAGCAAAAATGACACCTTGGTCATCACGGGTGGTCCAAATCATTGTGATTCTAAAATATTGTGACTGTTCCTATGCGTACACACGGATCTAGAGGCATTTTCATTTTTCTCCATTGACTGGTAATGGAAAGGTCACGCCACTGACCTGACCTTAGGTCACGGATATAAAAAATCCGAGATATACAAATTGTAGGCGCCCATAACATCATGCAATCCACCAAGTTTAAAACCTTTCTGACAAACACTGCAGGCTGGACATGATTGCAAACTTTTTTTAGGCTTGGTCAGTTAACTTGACCTGGTGACCTGACCTGACATGACCTGGGGTCAAAAATTTCACAAATTGTCCAAAATTGATGTACCAAAAGCTACCCCAAGCGGCGCGGCGCTACGCGCCGCGGTTTTTTATTCACGCGCAAAAAACGCGACAGGGTGGTAACATATGCCCCCCCCCCCCCACTGGGGCGAAGGTTAAAATCGGGTAGCAATCGCTGCGTCTCGCAACGGCGCACACGCTCGTTTTTCTGCGACGCTCTAGCTCTATCGGAAGCGAAAAGGCGAGGGGGGTCGTACCAACCCCCTCGACCGGCGCGTATGTAGTAAACCAGTAAGTCCGGCGAGGGTTAATATTTAATTTGGCTCTAGATTCAAAATGACAAGCTGGAGGGGAAGTCAAAATTAGTTCGAATTCTCTATCAAAGACAGTGCCATAGAATCGGTCACTAGGAGTCCTACGACTCTAATTTTCGTGATCAGCTCATGCCCGATAAACTATGTGTAATAGGAGCCACATCACAGAGGCATATTGGTAGCTCTTTCAATCCTCGCCAGTCCAATGAGTGTTCAGGTCAAGTTCTCCATTCGCCCCAGCTGAGAGGGAAACCCCGAGCCCCTCTTAAACCCGCTTCACCGTTTTGCCTCTAAATGAGCAACAGATTCGCAAAAAAAAACGTGGCACTGGCGCCACTACGAGAAGGTGATAAACATCCAATATTTTAAGATCCCAAGTCAAACGGTGACCTCTTGAGATTAGATCAAAGACTGCAATCCTGTTTTTGTTCGTTATCGAATTTAGCGTCATTGCCTGTTTAGCTCAGGTAGTTACGCCGATTGATATATTCTTTAATTTTGTTTCAAACAGGTCATTGTTTCAAACAGGTTATACCTACCGTGTGTTGACCTCAGGTCAAGTTCAGGCTAAACCCGGTCCGATAAGTCAGAAAGTTTGGTCGGGGGATAGACGACAGGTTCAATGTCAACTAAATGAGCTGCCCTATAAAAATGTCAAATAAAACTACATAAGCTGCGCATTGAAAATTAAGTAGAACTGCAATAGGAAAGGCCAGGGGCACAGCCAGGGGCATATTTTATCCAAGATTACTTTACTAAATTTTATCTGCTTCCGAAATATTTTTACATGACTGCTTCCGAAATTCTTTTATTTTGCACACGCCTAGAGGCGCGTGCAAAATAATATTCTCTAAATCCGTTCACTAATGAACAGGTTTCCTCCTTTTCGAAAGTGACAGGCTTCCAAACTAACTTATCTTAAACGGCGGGTTGTTTGTAAGGGTCCCACACCTACCGAGCAAAAATGTCTTCCCGAGATTTGCCAGAAATAACGAATAAGTAAATTAGCTATCGCCCTTATCCTTGTTAGGGATGCGATGTGCGTCAAGAGTAGGTACCAGTGATTTTAATAAACCATTTGATTCGTATCGATGGCTAATTGGTCTTCAACAACATGTGGCTTCTCTCTAAAATATCAATCGTGTCGTGGATCAGCCGGCCTGCTAACCCAGTGGCGGGGCGGAGTAGGTCGGTCACCGCGTCTGAGGCCGGGGCGGGGGTGGGCGCGGCTCCTCGTGCTCCTCTGATGACCGGGCGGGGTGGACTCACGGGGTGGGGGAGAGAGCCCCCGGGCGGCGTGGGCCCCTCGCCACCGACCGCCGCCCGGCGTGGACCTATATAACGACAGCCGCTGCTCTCCACCATACACATCGCCTTCCGAGCTCCTCTGCACTGCTAGCTGCATCGTCTGCTGCTACTTATCTGCAAACATGTTCACCAAAGTAAGTCACAGTTGTAAAATGATTAAATCAACAAAATTTGCCAGGCTTGGAGCACGCCAGATGCCAACTCCGTTGTCAGAAATGCGTTGGAGAGATATGCTGTCACTGTGTAATTGTTCAGTCATTCCTGTGCAGCATCCGACTGTCAAAATAAAGGCCTGGGGAATGAGAGCTGTCCTGACTTCTCAACAGCGCCCGTAAGTTGAGTGGTCGCAGAGCTAGCCTGTCCGTATAATGAACTCTCGAACGCTGTTTGCTCCCGACTGGCGACTCCCGAGTTCGTTATGTTTGTAATTGTGCCGTTGAGCGTGCTGAAGCCGAGACGGTTCCTCCTTTTCTCAGGTCACCGGATTGCTGCTGCTGGCCTCCGCCGCCAGCGTGCTCGCCAGGCCGCCGCCGCAGTACGCTCCCTCCGACTACTATTCTCCCCCGGAGTACCAGTTCGAGTACGAGGCCGCCGACCACTACGCCGCCCTGCAGTTCGGCCAGCAGGAGGAGCGTCACGGCGCCGAGACTAGCGGCTCGTACAGCGTGCTGCTGCCCGACGGCCGCACCCAGACCGTCACCTACACCGTGGTCGGTGAGCGCGGCTTCGAAGCCGACGTAAGCTATGACGGCGAGGCGGCGCCGGTTGAGAGCTACACCCCTAAGCACGCCCCGAGCTATGCTCCCAAGTACACCCCGAGCTATACCCCTAAGTACACCCCGAGCTATACCCCCAAGTACACCCCGAGCTACGCCCCGCGGCCGTACCACCCCGCTCCGGCGTACGGCAGTCGGGTGCGCAACTACGTCGTGAATAGCGATGCTGAGGACACTGCCGTCCCGGCTGCGGATGAGACCGAGGTGGAGGCTCGCGCCGGGGTTGAGGAGGTCGAGGAGGCGGAGGCTCCCGCTGAGGAGGCTGCCGTTGAAGAGGTCGAGGAGGCTCCCGTTGAGGAGGTCGATGCTGCTGTCGAGGATGCCGCTGAAGAGGACGCTGGCGCTGAGGAAGCGGACACTGAAGCGGCTGAGGCTGAGGCTGTGGAAGAGGAGGCCAGTGCTGAATAGGCAACACGTCATAAAGACGTCATTTATATAGGTATATGGATGATGCGTCATCGTCATCTGTATCCGTCAATATTTGATATCATGTTTATAGGATGACAAATAAATGGTTAATTAGCCTCAATGGGTTAGTTTTTTTTTCAATTTAGTATCGATTTACCACGCCCTGCGTCTCGAACGACGAACACGGTGCCACTGCCAATCGTGTCGCATGTCACTCAGTGTGCTGTCTGCGGGTACTGGCCTTGTTGACAGTCAAGTCGTAACTGCCACACAGCCGACCGCTGCCTCAGGTTTCTTCACCACAACCACGGGAGCGGCTCATCGTGCCGCATGATGTTTTGACCAAGATTCTTACAGATAGTTTTGACAGACTCCAGGATCCCTTAGTGATACTTGGCGATCTAACTCCTATCGATTGTTTCTCGCCGCGCAACAAGCGGAGGGCGATGCTTATGGAAGATTGGCTTTACTTCCGGGTCGGGCTGGAGTGGATAGTGACTTTCTGGACATTGTAGTGAGTGCGGGCAGCAGCAGATACGGCCAGGGGCTCCGCCACAGGGGGGTACGCGGGGGTCCGGACCCCCCCAATAATTTACCTGGGGGGTACAGTACCCCCCAATATTCCGAATACCTATTAGCTTGTTTTCGCGTACCTAAGAATGACTAAATCATTCACAGAATGTGTTGAATAATTTAGAACGTGTTGACAGTCGCAAAGCTAAGGGATTTAGGATCTAGAAATGTAGGGAACCCTTAAAATGTTGTGACACACGAATTGCTCAACACTCGCCGACCTTTATGTACGTGAGTTTATTCTGTGAATTTTATAAGTGGTGTTTTGCACATACCATCCTCAATCACTTTCACTGATGGCCGAGCCCAGACTGAAGGTGATTACAGTTCGGAGCCGGAAGCCATGACCATAAACAAAATAATAAACAAGGCTAATAAACAACCAAAAGCCAGTAAGGGCATCTCCAGGTCTCTTAATCGAACTGATTAAGATTACATCCCGAACAAGCCACCAGTGTGAATTTTATGTTTTACTTTGCCAGCTTGGCTTCACGCGTGAAGTGTCTGCTGAGCAGGTCGTTTGTCTAGGAGTATGAAAGTTTTATTTTAGCCCAACTTCTAAAGCATTTGTCTCTTTCAGACGTGAACGTTACCAACTACAAAGAATTTGCTTTGCCTTGGAACAGGTATATTACATTACAGGCTATTATACGTAGACATGAGATTAGATTCAAGTACAGCAAAAGCACAGTTACTAGGCAATAGGCAGACAGGCGCAATGTTACCCGCTACACGCACAGTGAAGAAAACACTACTGCGTCACTCGGGCACAACAGGTCCTGACTGGACCGGTGTCCCACCGGTACTCACATCGCAGCGTGGCGAGGTCGAGCAAAAGCACTGCCCCGGCCGAGTCGAGTCGGGCGAGTGCCAGCGAGGGTGAGCAGGAGCGAGCCAGAGCCGAGAGCCGAGCGCCCCGACCTACGCCACGCGCGCGTATTTGTACCGTCACACGCAGGGTGACGTCACGGCCGCGCACTTTCACAGTATCCGAAGGTAAGCGGTATAACATATACAAATAATACGCCTGACCTGACCGAACATATACAACTTTGAACTATATTACCTGAGCATGACCGTATGTACCTACTGTGCACTCAACATAATGGTCTGTTCGTTTATTGCAGAGAGTTGCCTCATTCAATAAACAACAAATTCGAATGTTTGAAATGCTTACTCAGCTATGAGGCAACTCCACTGAAGTTTTGCTATCTGATCGAGCCGACAAGCCTGCAACTACAGCTATGGCCACTCCTGTTCAGATGCAGTGCCCCTGGCCCAACTGTGGGTTCCAGACTCCGGCGCTTGACGGGTCAGTGGGCATCCAGCTCCTTCAGATGCATCAGACAGCGTCGCACCCACCAACCGCTGCTGCCGCCCCTGAGAAGGCCAAGTTACCAACACTGGAGGTCTCGCCAGATGGTGTTGTAACAGACACGGCGCTGGGGGTCTTCAGGCAGCAGCTCACGACCTACAAGCGAAGGGCCGGCATATCTGGCGATGACCCAGACACTGCTCGGGGTTACATGAGCAGAGTTAATACGCATTACAAACGGACTACAATGGTGAGCGAATAGGAAAATCCGTTCCTGATACGCATTTAATTGCTCATGTAACCCCGGTAACTGTCTTGCAGGCGCTGCCTTCGCCTGCGTACAGCCTGTTGTACGCCCGATTTGGTGCTGGACTCACATCCTTGAGTGAGCAACAACTCCTGACTCATATCGCAGACCTCATGGTGCGACCTGAGAACCGGCTATCCCACATCCTCAAGCTCCAGCGGATGAAGCAAGATCCCGGTCAGCCCGTGGCGCAGTTCGCGGCGAGGCTGCGTGAGGTGGCGCGACAGTGTCACTTGGTCGTACAGTGCCGTTGTGACCGGGCAGTAAGCTTCGAGGAGGAGATGGTGCTATTCCAGTTCTTGTCGGGCCTGTGCGACACCGAGGTGCAATCAGAGTTGCTGACTCAAACCCCGCTTACACTTGCGGCGGCCGAGCAGTATGCAGTGACGAAGGAAACCGCCAAACGGAGCCAGCAAGCTATCCAGAGTGAAGAACTGGGTCGGATTCGCTCATCGTATCAAAAATTGAAACTTTCTGGACCCCGCACCAACGCACCGCCACAGCCAAGCGGCCAGGCATCCCACACAGTCTGTCGCAACTGTGGGGAGGCTGCCCACGACCACCGTCGCCAGTGTAAGGCAGTCAACCACCTCTGCACCTGTGGTCGTCGCGGCCATCTGCCAGCTGTTTGCCGTAGCCAACACCGGCCTCGTCAGCCCGCCCGTAGAGAAACAGCAGATGAGATTGACGCCACTCTCCTAGAGCTGAGCTCCCGGTTTCTCCTGGAACCGAGCAGCAGCTCCATCGCCGACGCTGGCCCAGCATCAAACCGTCTGCCGGTGCAGGTCCAAGTCGACGTGGCCAGCCTCCCATGCACCGACCGGGCCCGTGACAGTGTCGCGGTCCCGCCACCAGTTACGTGCGTGGCAGTGGCTGACACGGGTGCCACAGTGACCTGCTGCGGCCCGGATACCCTCAGCGCCCTAGGTGTGCGGCGGTCGTCCTTGCTGCCGTCACGTATCACGCTCTCGACCGCCAACCGGGCCCGACTTACGATCTGGGGAACCCTCCCTGCCACCATCCAAGTGAGTAACGGGGGCCGGTCGGCGTCTACGCTGGAGGCTGTGTATGTGGCGGAGGAATTGACTGGACTGTACCTCTCTGCCCGTGCACTCCAGGCGCTGGGCTCCATTTCCTCCGAGTTCCCCTACCCACCTTCGGGTAAACCAGGAGCTGTCTCCGCGCTCGACACCGAGCCGGCTGCTTCGGCTCCGTCTGCACCTGACCTGGCACCATGCGGATGCCCTCGCCGCGCTCCGACACCCGAGCCGCCACCTCTGCCAGATAACCCCACCGATGCTGACATCCCTGCCCTGAAGCAGCTGCTGCTCGACCATTACGCGTCATCCACGTTTAACACTTGCTGCCACCAGCCCCTCCCCCTCATGCACGGCCCACCCCTAGAGTTCGCCGTGAAGCCTGGCGCGACCCCTCACGCCGTGTACACACCAGCTGTCGTTCCCCTACACTGGGAAGACAGGGTGCGTCGGGACCTTGACAGGGACGTCGCCATGGGGGTACTGGAAAAAGTAGACGTCAACGAGCCAGTCACGTGGTGCTCACGAATGGTAGTGACCCGCAAGCACAACGGCGAGCCCCGCCGAACCATCAACTTCCAGGCCCTCAACGAGGCCAGCATCCGTCAGACGCATCCCACCATGCCCCCTTTCCAAAAAGCCATGGCCGTGCCCGCGGATCAGTGGAAAACCACTACAGATGCCTTCAACGGCTACCACTCCGTCGCCATTCGCGAATCGGACCGCCACCTCACGACCTTTCTGACACCATGGGGCAGGTACCGCTACAAAACCGTCCCTCAAGGGTACAAGGTCTCCGGAGATGCCTACACTCACCGATTCGATCGGGTCACACTGAATGTGAAGTCTTGTGACAGGGTCATCGACGACTCCATCCTGTACCAGCCCACGATTCGATGCATGTTCCAACATGCGGCAGAGTATCTGACGCTCTGTGGCCGAAACGGCATCCTCCAGAACCGCGACAAGTTCGTGTTCTGTGAAAAGACCGTGGACTGGGCCGGCTTTCGTCTGGGCCCTGACGGCGTCCGACCGTTGCCGTCCCACACGGAGGCTATTCGGTCGTTTCCGACGCCGACCTCGGTGACCGACCTTCGATCATTCATGGCTCTGGTCAATCAAGTGTCGGCTTTCTATGCCACCCAGCCTAAACTCCTCCCCTTCCGCGCCCTCCTTAAGAAGGACTGTCCTTGGTACTGGGACGAGACTCTGGACCAGCTGTTCCGAAACACCAGGGAGGTCATCGCTCGGGAGGTGGAGAAGGGAATCCAGTCGTTTGACCGCGCCAAGCCCACGTGCATCCTCACGGACTGGTGTAAAACAGGACTCGGGTACGTCCTCCTTCAAAAACACTGTACCTGCACCGAACTCAAGCCGACCTGCTGCCCCGCTGGGTGGCGTGTGTGTGGCGTCGGGTCTCGGTTCACCTCTAGCGCCGAGAGTCGCTATTCCCCAACAGAGGGCGAGGCATTGAGCGTCACCAATGCCCTCGAAAAAACTAAATACTTCACACTCGGCTGTGACCAACTGGTGGTGGGAACCGACCACAAACCTCTCCTGGGTATTTTCGGCGACCGTTCCCTGGACGGCATAGACAAGCCTAGGCTGAGACGCCTAAAGGAGAAAAGCTTCGGCTGGTCCTTCTCTCTGGTCCACGTCCCGGGTCGCCTCCATGGAGGCCCCGACGCTCTCTCGAGGTATGGTGTGAGAGAACAGCGCGAGGGGTCCGATGACAGCTTGGTCGAGTCACAGATCGACGAGCTGTTTG